AAAAAAAAAAAAAAAAAAAAAAAAAAAAAATTTTTTTTTCATTGTAGAGATGAGGTCTAGCCAAGTTGCCTGGGCTGGTCTCGAACCCCTGGGCTCAGGCAATCCTCTGGCCTCGGACTCCCAAAGTGCTGGGATTACAGGTGTGAGCCTCTGTGCTCGGTTGCAAACAAGCTCTTAAAGCAACTCGCCCATCACAAACTGCAAAAGGCAGAGAAGAACATACAGGAGCCTCCTCCCCACTGCCCAGTCTATGCTAGTTGACCAGGAGTTGAAGGGCCAAAGCGTACTTTGGATTCCAGCAGGCGATCACCGAATTCATGGTATAGTGGTTGTGGTCGATAGTCAGGGCCTCCAGAAGCCAGTGGAGGGCGCAGAGCTGGCGGAAGAGGGGATCCCTGCAAAGACAGAGAGAGGGGGCACAGTGAGATCCTGTTAGAACTACATTCTTCCCATCATAGCCACAGAGATAGTCATGCTTGTTCCCAGGGAGAGAGTTGGACCATGCTCCAGGTGCCTAAGGATTTTTCTTTTTTTTTTTGAGTTGGAGTCTCATTTAGTTGCCCAGACTGGAGTGCAGTGGCATGCTCCCGGCCACCGCAGCCTCGACGCTGGGCTCCGGTGATCCTTCCACCTCAGCCTTCCAAGTAGCTGGAACTCCAGGCGCGCGCTACCACGCCCGGCTAATTTTTTTGATTTATTGTAGAGATGAGGTCTTGCCAAGTTGCCCAGGTGGGTCTCGAACCTGCGGGCTTAGGCAATCCACTCACCTCAGCCTCCCAAAGCGCTGGGATTACAGGATGAGCCACCGAGCCTGGCCAGGATTTTCATACATCATTTCATTAAACCTTCACAATGGGCCCATGAGGTTTTTATCAGCCCCATTTTACAGATGAGAAATCAGAGACTCAGAGAAGGAAGTTGTGCCTGGTCACTGGGCCAGTAGGTGCCACAGCCATGATTTGAGATGAGTTGATTTTCTGCCAGTTCTTGGGAATTTGTGTGAGTAGGAGGGAGAGAAAAAGAAGGGGCCCCCCATCCAGAGGTTTTGACTCAGGCAGTCAAGAGGCTTGAAGGAAATCAACAGCCTATCGGTCTCCGATCATGAATGAGATAAAAGTACAATAAATAAACAAGGAGTGTACAAAAAGTCTAGAAACACAGGGAAGTTCGTGTATAAATTGTACTTTCTCCTCAGATTAAAATTTGGACGCACTGCCTTAAATTTATTAGTCCTTTGTCTGAAAATGTAGCTGGATCTTGAAGAAAAACACATGGAGAATATTATTTGAAAATAACTGAAACACTTCAAAAATATGTCTAACCTACATTTTCTGATGTTTTGGATACCTTTATCAAACACCCACAACTGGGGCACTTTGTACATGTTATTTAATTCTCCCAACACCCTGCTGGAATATAAATTATTATCCATGTTTTTAGACAAGGGGAAATTGAGGCTCAGAGAGGTGCAATCACTTTACTCAAAGTAACATAAAAGTAACATGGTTTGTTAATGACAGAAGAGATGGTGTTTTAGTATCTCATTTGAAGCTCACAGCAACCCTACGAGAAGACATCTGCTCCTGCCTTCTCTTTAAATGAAGGTCCTGAAGCTCAGAAAGGTGCAGTGAGTTACCTGAGGTCACACCGCTAGGATTCGTGAGGATTTGAACTGAGGTCTGGTTAACACTAGAGACTGTGCTCTCATAAACCTGAGCCCTGACTAGGTCCTGGTGAAGTCGACACAGTAGTCACCCTGAGAATGAGGTCAGGAGATGGTTAACCTGCTGCCTGCCTTTTTCCTGGAAACAAGCTGGGAGTCCTGGTCAGAGGTGCTTCTCTCCCATGATTTCTCCTCTGACACTAATGGGCAAGGCCTCCTAGAAACCTGTCTTCTAATGGCGCTTCTGTGAAACTGCATCCTGCCTGGATGGACAATCCCCAGGGTTCCTAGGCCTGATGCTTGCAGTGGCAGGACAGTATCTATCCTCCTTGCTTCCAGGAAGGCTCCACTTTAGAAGGTGAGGCCCAAGCCCTGGGCTCAAGCGTGGAACTGACCCAAGGTCCTACAGCTTATCCCTTGAGGGTGTCCATTTCACTCAGTTTGAAGGGGACCTGCCATCGTCCTACCCCATCCCTCTCATTCCCATGTATTGGGCTGGCAGTGCTCGCCAGGTCTCAGGAAAACTACGGTCAGAAGCTCACTCTCTTCTTCTCTGAAGACTCTTCCCTTCACAAATACTAAGCACTGCTATTCCCTCAGTTTCTAAATGGAAGAATCTGTAAGCCTATATATAGCCTTTCCAGCTCTTGTCTCTCTCTTCCTTCTTCACCGTGTCTTGGGCCTGCTGGGCCCAGAAAACGATACCCCAAAATGAAGCCTTCAGAAGCAAGTTTTTCATAGACTTTCTTCTGCCCTCCTGTCTATCGGTTCCATTCTCCCCTGAGGCTAGCCATAGAAACTAGAATCTCTGGCCTGGCTTGATGGCTCTGCAATCCCAGCAGTTTGGGAGGCCAGGTGAGTGGATTGCCTGAGCCTGAGGGTTCAAGACCTACCTGGGCAACTTGGCGAGACCTTGTCTCTACAATAAATCAAAAATTAGCCAGGCATGGTAGCGTGTACCTGTAGTTCTGGCTACTTGGAAGGCTGAGGTGGAAGGATCACCTGAACCTAGCAGGTTGAGGCTGCGGTAGCCATGAGTGTGCCACTGCACTCCAGCCTGGGCAACAGAGTGAGACTCCAACTCAAAAAAAAAAAAGAAAAAGAAAAAGAAACTAGAATCTCTCTTCTCCAACATGAGTGTAGAAGCCAGAACCCCTTTTCCCCAAAGTCAACCATAAGAGCTAAAAATATTACTCTAATTTTCCCTCCACCCTTTTGTGTAAAAACTGACCATAAATAAATTATCTGACCTATATTGTTTGACTGGGAGTCCTACAACACCCAGAAGTAAGGAATGCTTGCCCAGAGAGACCAAGAAGAACCTAGACAGACAAAACTTCCTGGGTTTCTCCACTCAGTCTATTAGCATTAGGTCATACCCTTTTTCATCTGATTTTATTTCTATATGGCTGTCCTTACTTTGTTGAACCTAACCCAAAAAACGGACAATTTCCTCTATATTTTTGGATCTTCATTCTGAAGTTTCCTGTGTATACATGTTAAATACAATCACATGCTTTTTCTCCAATAAATCGGCCTTTTGTGAGTTGATTTTTTCAGCAGACCTTTGGAGGGATCTTGGCCCCTAAAGGTAACGGCAGTTTGGTGACTCTAGGCATATAGGCCATACTCAGCATTTAGCCAATAGCAGTGGCTGGCTGTGTCACATACTTGGCATTGGGCCATAATCACCCTCACCATAATCCTAGGAAGTTGTAAAAAGACTGGGAGGGTGGGGGAGGTGCCCACCCCATTTCTGTTTTACAACTTGGAACTCCTGCAGGGATGTGTGGGAGTGGAAAAGAAAATAAGCCAGCAAAAGGAGTTGATTGGTGAGATGGGGTCTGCTTGGTCACAGGGTGGTTGTGGGGACCTGGGGCTTATAAGCAACAGGTTCATTCTGCAGGTGACAAGAATAGGTGCAAACCTGGCCCTCTGCCCACCTTGGGTCAAACTTTCAGACTCCCTAAATCATCTGTAATGGGCTGAACTGTGTCCCTGCCTAAAAAAAAAAAAATTCACATGTTGAATCCCTAAACCCAATACCTCTGGCTGTGACTGTATTTGGAGACAGGGCCTTTAAAATGGCGAGTCAGCTGAAAATGAAGTCACTTCTGTGGGCCCTAATCCAATCTAACTGGTGTCTTTATAAGAAGAGGAAATTTAAGTTGGGCTCGGTGGCTCAGCCTGTAATCCCGCGCCTTTGGGAGGCTGAGGTGAGTGGATTGCCTGAGCCCGCGGGTTCGAGACCTGCCTGGGCAGTGAGACCTCATCTCGA